TAGTGAAACGCGAATTAAGGCTCAACAAATGCACTCAAGCAGTCCTTTATCAACAGGTCAAAACTATAAGGAACGATCTTTCATTGATAGGTTGCTTGACCTTGTGAGAAGCTTTATATTAAGCTGCTTTCCTTTACGTTTCTTCAAGTTTTCGTTTCTTTCTTGGTTCATCGTTAAGGTTCGTTTTTTTGTTCATTATTTTTCGTTCTTCTTGGTAAATTTCATAGGTAATTTTTCTTTATCTAGATATTCCTGAAGAGTTTGGGTATCATTGATTTTAAAAACATATGGAGCAATTTTTTCTCTTCTTTTTTTAAAATACTTCTTATTGTGCTGTAATTCTTGAATTCCATAGTAGATTTAATATAAATTAGTTTCATATTAATGTTTTTATATAGACATAATTAAAACTGTAATGTACTTTGTGTATAAGTTACAGCTGTGATAATCAAAGTATTGTTATTAGCCAAATTAGTTAATTTCAGCCACATCAGCCTCTTATTTATGCCCATGTAATGTGTCTATTACAGACTTCTCAATAAAATACACATACCATTGATGATTTAATATTAAGAAGAATCTGGAAAGATACCATTGAATACATGAATCAACATACTCCAACACCACTGCCTGAAGTTCAATCATTAATGAAGAATAAGTTTGAGTATGTGGACCCGTCATGAAATGCCCATCAAATTAAAACCTTTAATAAAATGAGGTTAATTATACAGTATGTTGACTTCTATTGTGGACCTTTTCCAACACTTTTTTAATAGGTACAAAGTTAGCAACTCGAATAAATGAACATATAAAATAAACTTATGAAAAGATTAAGGACAATGTGCGAAAATTCAATAATCTTGTGAAGGTTGTACCCGGAACGACATCTAAAGAAAGATGATGAGTATTGGCTCAGTTACCATACATAGCATTACTATTACATTTCCAGCAATGGATGCTGATGTACGAAAAGCATTACAATATACATAGCCTAAACTCACTGACCGTGCACTTGAGGAAATTGAAAGAGCTAAAATCGAAATAACAAGAATGAAAGAATATCTGTCCCAGAGATTGAACAATACAGTTGAATGATTATCTAGTATGGAGAAAGATATAGAGATATAAACAAGTCTTTGATGAATCAAACATGCAGGAGAAGATGAAATAGAAAACAATCTGTACGAAGGAGAAGTGAATACGATTGTTAACGACATAGATGACAATGTATGAATATGACAAAAATGTAGGAGATGATAATATGAGTTGACAATATAAAATAAATATATTAGAACAGTATAGGAAGTGAAATATGTTTGTTGGCTATTTGACTTTTCCTTTATTCCTTTACCATCTTTCCCGTTGTAAAGGTATCCTTGTAGTACTTTCGATTCCCTTATTCTAGTTTTCCTGGTACTTGGGATATGGCTGTGTAAAGCCATAACTACTAGGGGATAATATGGATATTATTATTATATTGCTACGTCCTCTGCCACTGGTCGACCGATTTGGGGCTGAAGTTGTTTTGGTTGAACTATATAGGTTATATAGCGATTTTGTTGGCGAATCCAAATTGTAGGCAAATTTGCCGACAATATAGTTTAAGCAATGAATCAATAAACATAAATGTGCGAGATAATGGGATGCACACTACTCCATGTCCCCGCGCTCGAGTCACAAAGTCGCTACCTGTTTGCTTGAGCCGAAGTTCTTGTACATCTAATCTTTTTTGTTCGAGTTCTAATCTTTTAAATTCAATTTCAAATCTTTTGTGTTCGATCACCAGAAGGCGTTCAAGGTTTTCCTGCGTTTGCAAGTTTTGGGGAAGCCTTAGGAATTCTTCCATGAGGCGAGGTTAAGTTTTTTGAAATAGAGCGGATAGTCAATGATCGTACATTTAATCAATGACGTTACATATTAGGAGGATGGCTAAGCTAATATGTCAACCAATGAAATTTAGTCTTGTTGCGCCAATATTAATATTAATCGTTGGCACAACGCAATAAATATTGTTAAACAAAACATCGTTTAAAATAAAAACAATTCTTTCAATAACGCTCTGCAAAACTGCTTATATTAACAAGCGAATTATCTTTCGGAGCTAACTTGCCTAATCTGTAATTATAATGGCCAACTCTACAAATGGGGGATCTTAATTAAGAAAACGAAGTTGCAACATAACAAAACTGTCGGCGACAAACAAATTCAAGACACTTTTATTGGTTTCTTAGACGCGACAGAAGCTCGATGAGCTGTTACAAACAATTACTGTAATAATGTATGCTTATTAATATATGGATTATGAAGTGTTTACGATATCTTATTATTCAATGCTAATGCTTATTCAGTTCCATCAGTTCTCTGACGATATAAAAGTGTTAACAACAATGATACACTATTGTCCATGTTATTTTATTATTCTCAACTTTTTTTTTTCTTGATGTCAAGTTTTAGTTAGGAAAGCTTCAGTCAGTATAATCCCAAAATATCATTTTATTTTACTACAGACAGTTTAATAAAATAATTTACCTTCAATAATTACAAAATATAGTGCATACATTTATGTATTTCCTATCCCCAAAATTCACAGAGCCCGATTTCCTACATCCTATAGAAATATTAATCATACTTTGGTTATATTCCCTCAGTAAATTTACCTTACTACATAGATATTATGCTATTTCTATCTATAGTCAAGCTATCACCTTGTTGGTTAGTCCATTAATGTTATGCGTTATATGTTTAAGTGTTGCTCCGCTTTATTACACGTAGGTCTTCTTAGCTTAGCGAACTGTATCAGCCCCGTTGTATTAAAGTCAGTCTTCTTAGCGAATTGTATCGCGACCCCAGCGGGCTTTTTAATACATTTGTGTTGATCTTCTTCATCACTCACTTTCGTTACGAGAGATTTAACAGACTGCATTTATTATCCTTTCTTTCGTTCGAACAAATCAGTTTTAATATGGATCGCTTGCAATAAGCTAACAAAGTTTTATGACAAAAAGTCTAACGATGTATCGGTGTTGATCGTGTTATTTTTATTTCAAGAACAAGAGTTAAAAACTCATTTTGAGCGCAAAGCTGAACGTTCAGAAGTCGTTTTTATAACTAATGTCTAACTATGGCAGTTATAAATTGTCCAATAAAAATACATAAAATAATTTGGACTTAGATTTCTATTAGTTGCGAAATGATTTAAAAAATCGACCGAGTGTTTTCACTCTTTCCGTCAGCCATCAACCTTTTACTATTTAATGCTCACCGTACTGAGCTCGGCCACCGGAAGTAGCACCCCCACCGCTCCATGTCGCAGTCGCAGCTGCGGCTGTTGTCGTTCTTCTTCTTCTTCTGCTTCTTCTTTCTTTTTTCCTTTAGACGTAGTAGCAGGGGGTGGATGTGGGGGGGGGGGGCATTTTACGGCTGTCGATGCTGAGATTATTGGGTCTTCTGTGGTCGTTGTGATTATATGAGCGTGGCCTGTATATTGGAATGCGCGTTTGGTTCCAGCCATATGCGCAGGCTATTCGGGCGTATGCCCGGAGAAAATAGTGGAACCCACGGTGCTACCCCGTTTCCTAACAGGTAGTGTAGTCCAACCGTAAGGCGAGTTTTTGTTGCGTTCGTTGCCAAAGTGATCGCAGTCCTTGTCGAGCAGCCTCTTGAACTAATTGCATCGCCCTTTTCTCGTCTTTTGCTACCCCGTTTCCTAACAGGTAACGTAGTTCAACCGTAAAAACGTGTTCCATAGTGTCTTTCCGGGCGGGTGAGTGGCTTGATTACTGGTTTTTCTATATATTACATATGGAATTAATATTAAATCATCAGCATAGAATTTGCAACTATCAAGGTTCAAGAATGGCTACAAACTTACCAAAACTGTGCATAGGTTATCCTGTGCCTACTCTCAACAATTGTATAAAGACTGGCCTTTTGCTAATAATAGCTAGACTAAGTTTGTTCTTGAGCCTTGATATCTGTACTTTTGGCGGTTTCTTTGTTCTTTTAACTGCTTTGCCTTGGGTTTTCTGTTGCTTGGCTTGTTGATGGTGTTTGGGTGAGGTGGATGCAAAGCTTCTCTCTTATACCTGCATCGCTCACTCCTTATAAATGTTTCTGTAACATGTGACTTTTGTGATTTGTATTACACATTGAGGTTTATAATATACTATTACTGTGGTTAAAAATTTTGGGGGCGGAAAACTTTATTATTATCTTAGAGTACCGTAAACTATCGTGAGTTTTGCGTTCCTTCATTTAGTTGCACCTACGATTGAACGCTAAAGGTAAACTATCGTAAATAAGGGCCTATCGTTCGTGAATAAGGCCCCTCATATGAAAAAATTGCCATCGTGAATAAGGGCCGTAATGTTATGAAATAACTGGCCCCTCACCCCCCCCATTATCACATCAAATCAACAATCGACATCATACAGTGTGTTAAGAAAAAAATTGGCCTCTAGACACGTAAAACTTAAAGCGCGTCCTTTCCATATTGAGTATAATAAACGCGTCAGATTTT